TCGCGTGCTAAAGCACAACGCATAGGTGACCTTTTCGTGTTGCCTTTCCTCCCATATCTTGAAATATGCAGATCTTCAAAGATTCGAAGATCTTTCAAGAAACCTTAGTAATTCCCCCAACGTTTTTATATAAAAAATAATAAACAAGCAGTTTTGGGGAGTGCTCTAAGTACATAGTTCTTAGAGCACTACTGTTTAGAAAATTTGTACTTTACTTGAAGTATATTATCTGAATGTACTTATAGTTTCTGAGGAAATGAAAACTCCCAATTGCAATAAAAATTCCCCAAGTTTGAAAACAAAAAAATTGCACATCGTCGCGTGAAAACGCGCTCATTCGAGACGTCATCTGGTCATTTCGCTGAGTGAAGTAACGGCGGCTATAAGACCGACAGAAATAAGTGCCTTATAAGTTCATTGTGTCAAATAGCTCGCCAGCGAGAGTAAAACAACTAATCTGTGGCGACTTGACTTTATACAATATTTGCTATCATTTCTTTCTAAAAAACTGATGCACCTGCGATTACCCATAAAGCAATGCGTACCCGTTAAAAAAGAAACACTCTATATATAGGAAATAAAAGGGTATCATGAAAGATTCTGTGAAAAGTACTCGTGGTTTACCTTTGAAATATATTGTATTTATAGTATTTATAGTACGTGTCTTCAAGTACATTGCACCAGGTGTGCTTTCTACTTTACTTGAAGTACATAACCTCTCATTTACTTTGTACTTTACTTCAAGTACCTTTTTTATGTACTTTACAAAACACGGTAAACAAGCCAATAGTGTCTAAAAAATCAAGCTCAGGCAGTGCTAAACCTCAAAACAGAAACGATACATTCGCGGTACATCATTGACCAAAGAACAGAAAAGCAAAAAAAGAATTAGGGACGCAGAAGCAGAACCAGCTATTAAAGTATTTCTGCGAAAACAACAAGCCGATTCATGTTTGGCTAGTACAATTTCTCTAACGGATCAAAACTTGTGTACTTTCTTGTCACCATAAAAAAAAAATTAAAGTAATTGGTTAAGGCGAGCGGGTTGAACATGAATACATAAAATTGAAAGAATAAAACACAGAGGACAAGCACAGGACATGACATTCTTGTCCAGGTCGCTTGCACCTTCGCATTTAATTGCATTATAAGCACAGGACAACCACTTTCTTTCATTTAGCAACGACGTTTATTTTGGGCAAAGACATTGCACCCTGAGCGAGACCCCGACAAGATAGGTTGATAAGGGGGAAGGCTAACAGGGAGATGGAAAGGTTGATATGGGGGACGGAAAAGAAACCTGGGAGATGGAAGAGTGATAAAGGGGAAGGGAAACTGGCAGATGGAAGGCGTGATAGAAGAAGGAAAGGGGGAACCACGAGGCACGGGCAGAACTACCGTGATGTTGTGTATTTACGTGGAGTTGCGATATTTTTCAAGTTCAGGCTTGAGGAATTCTAATTCCCGTCTTGATAAGGTTACTGAGGCCGATGAAACGTTGTTTTCTGCGTTCTGGATGAGAAAAGATTCGATGATTTCACGTCCGTGGCGATTGCGGTGTCCCCCTCTTGTCTTGGTTCCTGCGAAGTCAGGCGCGCATCCAATGCATTCATTCGCGTGAACCGCGATCGGATGAATGGGGTTGTCGGTTCTTGAAGTGGCCTCGTTTTCGTGCTCTCTCAAGCGGTCATTGATACATCGGCAGGTTTTTCCTATGTACTCGGCACCGCATTTGAAAGGGATGGAGTAAACTTTATCCGTACAGCAGGTCCGGAAAAGGGTGGCGTGCTTTTCTTCGCAAGCCGGCTTGGCTTGCAAAAAGTTATCAAAGTAACTTCAAAAATAATTCGCTACTTTTTTACCGTAATTAGCAATTTCCTCAGTTACTTTGCAGTTGAGTAATTTCTACTCTACTCAAATTACTTTTAAGGCTAATACTCAGTAACTTAACCCAATTACTTTTTCTGGGTAAGTTATACATGTCTGATTTCACCACAAGTCAGAGAGAATTCAAAGGCGAACACATATACTAAAAACGCAGCCAGCTCATTGAGCTTGATTAGTTTATCGAATGACAGCAGATGGACAGAAAGATGACGGGCGTCGTGACGTTGCGCTTTTGGTGCTGCTTGATTAGGTCCCTCATCTCGTAGCACCATCTATTCTGACTTTACATAAAAATTATGATAGACGTCCTTAACCTTGGCATGACGTTTAAACTGCTGAGTGCCAGTGGGGGTTTGCATTTTGAAAAAAAAAAAAAAAAAATAAAAGCGCTGCTATGGGTTAGGTTCGTCCACTGGACAAGATGTAAATACAATTGAAATGCTGCAGAACGATATTTTTGTACTCGAGGACATTTCTGAGACAGCAATTTTCAGGATTAATTATACTTCATTTCAGCTTCGGTCCAGACTCAGCCGATGCTACAAGCGCGAGCATGTGGCCCAGAACGGTGCTTGCACTGCACGAGCGCGCGTGCTTGGGAGGGATGCTGAAAGCCCGGAGCTCGCGCTTGTAGCTTTGGCTGCGTCTGGACCGAAGCTGAAACGAAGTATAGGCGTCGTGTTTTAATAGATTTGTATTCGTCAAACTCATTATGCTCACTGCCGGGTGCGCTTACCACCGATAATTCGGTCCCGAAGTAGTTGCTTCGTCCGCCCTCTGAAGGGGACCCTTCCCGTCATCAATTTGTAGAAGACTACTCCCGAAGACCACCAGTCGCAGGCCCTTCCTGCAAGGAACCGTGCATTTCGGACAATTTCTAGAGTTTACAGCTTTTCTCCCCGTCTTACCGTAAGGCCTGCGCTTTAGAATCTCGGGCGCCATGTAGGGAATCGTCCCTGCAGACTCTCCGTCGTGGAACTCAAAGGCTGTCCTGGCAAAGTAGCCTTTCACGAGTCGCTTGGAAACTGCATGTAAAGTGTAGAGATTCTCCCAATCTCTCCAAAATAAAACATTGATAATCTCGCTTTCTAGGGCTTCCCATTTAGAACATCAACACTCTCAACGCTACATCGGTTTTAATGCATGTTTTGGAGTCACTGTTACGTGATTTTTGAATGTACAAATTATTGCCGTTCTAGCTTCGATACAAAAATAAAGTTGTCTGGCAAATAAAGTTTTATAAAGTGATTATTGCAAATCGGTGCAATATTATGTGGCTCTTCTTCCTTAGCTTTATTCTGCAACTCTCGTTTATTATTCCAAGATACATAATACAACAGTTTGATCAACTTTGTAAATGTCAGTATAGAATAGAAAAAAAAATTGGATCTAAATTAAAGTATGAAATAGCTCTACTAAAATTGCGAACAATAGATATAAATCAGTGAAGATAATAAAGGTAAAGCAAAGAAGTGGCCGCGCCGCGCTGAGCTCGGGTGTGCAGCCACTCAGGAGTCTGCCCGTGCGGGCTCTGCTGACTCGCCGGCCAGCCGCACCCTCTTACCGGCGGCCAGGCCGCTGTGCCACCATGAAGTGGTCTTCTCTGGTAGCGTTCCTTGAAACTACGTCGTGCTAGAGCCAATGGGAGCCTCGTTCTTCAAAACTATGACGCGCGCCAGCCAATGGAAGTTCATCCATCAGATCGCTGCTACAGACGACAGGCTTCGCTACATTGGGACAGGGAAGTTTAAGCGCCGTTTGGCGCGGCTTCAAAAGCTGATAAAGCCGGTTCGCTCCATGGGACAGTTAATGCTTTCGCATTGAAAGTTGCGAAAAATATCGTGGGAAGCTTCAGAGCAGTTTGTTTTAAGTTTTATTTTTTCTCACAAACTTCCGATTTGCCAGAAAAGAGCGCTAAAATCTACTCACAGTGGCCGAGGCAGACCTTGTTGGTGTCGAAATCGATCAACTTCACGCGACCTCCTGGCATTATAATCATACTGAAAAAGATTAAAAAGCCAAAGTTGACGACGACTCTTTCGGGGGAAATGGAAGTGGCAGTGTGTACGGGTTAGTTGTTAAGCGCTTTAGAACACTGAAAGCGCGCAGAAGGACGATGACTAAGCAAAAAGATGTGTGTGAGATAAAGCTATGAAACCCTTTCAAAATTGCTCTCTTTTGGTGGATCTGAAAATACTGTACGGTGGCATCTGCATTGAGACACCGTTGAGCTCAACAGTCCTGACGTACAAGAGGGACACCCATTCGTACATATGTGGCTATAGGACTGCATTTTTCGCCGTGTTGACTGTTTAGTCATATATTAGGGTTTTCAAAGCTGTGAAGAGGGCTACCATACTTCTGAAAAGGGTCTATTACAGGTGATTTGCGCGTACTCACACCGCGGTACTTGGAACGCGTCTTTCATTTGTTTTTGTTGATAAACCTATAGATGTCTGCAAGCAGCCATGCTTCATAAATTTAGTCCCGCCAGAGTCGACGTGAAATGATGTGTTTGAGCACTTTTATGGCAACAGTGGGCACGCCTTATCAAGGCTTGACCATCAGACCAGCTACACATGCCAGCAGCAAGGTGGCGGCGCCCAGAGGACTTGTAAACATTTTGCCGTCCGTGTGTTGGAGTGCCCGGGCAACAAAATTTTTCATGGGACCCAGTGTTTTGTGCTATCAACCGTCGCGAACTTGGTGGTTTGTAGTAAGAGTGTTAGTGCAGAGGGCAGGCGGGGGCAACCATCGCTGTCATCAGTGTTTTGCGATTCGACGCTACTCGAGTTTCTGTTGGCTGGCCGACTACAGCTACCGCAGTACAGGCGTTGGCCGCATCCACCTCCACTGCTGTGCAACGGCCAGGGTCGCGAAAAGCGGCAGCTAGAAATTCAATTCTGTTCAATATAATTTTATTTATTCCAATTCATGGAGATGGAGGTAGGACAACAAGGTATTCCTGATGGCTTGACGTCCCTGTAGCATCACAACGTTCGTTGTGATGCTACAAGCCGGACAGCGAAGAGACAGACCTGGAAAGGTTGGGTCTACGTCTGTGGGAAGCACGTTTCAAGCACCGAACTCACACTCCTAAGAGGACGTTCAGCTTACTTGGACACCTTGACGTCCCTGTGCAGAAATCCCCGCAGATGCAGGTGCTCCAGGGCTAATATGAGCTGCGCCATTACTATCTGGACGTGCTCGATAGGCAAGTAGGCGGCCTTAAGGATCACGCGCATGACGTCTACTCCGGGGACATACTCCATCAGAGTGACGTAGGAGTCCTGTCAACAAAAACGGATGTAGCACCAGCATTGACAGAGTTCTTTTCGGGTGCTTGCCTTGGCGCAGAAGCAACAGTAGTACTTGACCAGGAACGGACTCCGGACGACGGACGCCACCACTTTGTCGATGCAGGCCTGCTTGTGGCGCGTGAAGCGATCCATGGCCACAAGCTTCACGGTGCACACAAAGTTGGCGGGAAGGAACTGCGCCTTGTAGACCGCCCTGCAGAAGGGAGGGGGAATGTCGACGTAGCGCGCTCTCAAGAGTGAACATCGTAGGCATTTGATTTGGACGCGCGTTTGGTAAGCTCCATGCCCTTGTTAACAAAATGCTTTGTGTGATGTCACCAAAAGGTTACACAGAACCTCTAGATAGTCACCTAAGCAAGCTGGAACTGACATTACTCAAACCCATATACACCGGACAAAAATCGTTGGTGTGCTGTTTACTATAAGAAAAAACAATCAATAATAATTTCACTTTTCACCTAAGTTCACGCAAGTTCACGTCACAAGTTCACGCCATAGAGTTAGATTTATTTGACAGTAGTTATAAGAACCTTTGAATTTCTGTGAAACTAATGAAAGCGCACGAGATAAATTTCTAGTTTGTTTTTGCAGTACCACAGCCATGTGACTCCTTAATTTTCTTCAACAGACGAAACTTTTCGTCAAGAAAGGAATGTCGTGATATTTACTGGGTTCTTCGGTGGCTTCTTTAACAAAAATCGATGAAGGAGCTTTGCAAGGCTCTTAAGTACAGCTGATTATTAATTCGAAGTCATTCTCATGAACAGTAATGAAGGAACTTAAATATGCTATAACTGCTCAACCGTTTTGATTGTACAGGCACCCTTTCGTATGGCACATCTATATAAGCTCATGTCGTAACTGCTCCAAAACGAAAGCATTATCAACTGGAAAGGTAAAAGCTAAATACGAATTTTACCAGAAAAATATATTTTCGTAACTGTTGTCCTTAGCGAATAACTAAAAAAATCTTCTTCGATCTTTTTGCCGATTACAGTACGAAGAACTTTTACCCGAATCCCCCAGCCCCTAGGAGCTTCATTGGCTTGAATTCTTTCATCTTCGGTATGAAGGTGGTGTACGATGGGATGCTCTCCAAGTTCATCTGCGGTTGAAGCAAATGCAAACCAAGTCAAAATCAGCATAATTAATCTGCATTATTACACCAGAAGTACAATTTTTATATTTTTTAAGATGCTGACTGATTCCGATCGTTTCTTAATTGAACAGATTTCTTTCGTTCTAAGTTAATTTGAGCACACAAGGGTAGTATAGTCACCGGCGGTCTAATAAACGCAGGGAGTGCTGAGTCCCCGGCATCTGATTATGCTCCGCAACCAACGAGATAGCGGCATTCGACAATAAGATGCCCAAGAACCAATCACCACACTCAGCTTTTCTAAAACTGTCAGTTTTAGAAAAGCTGAGTGTGGAGATTTCCAACCGGACTTTATGTATTTAGTTTGTCAAGGTGGGCTTAAGTACCTTTTCCGTTTTGCTGATCACGCTGTCGCCAATAGCCATCCAATCAGTGACGCTGACCTCGCAGATTTTCTCCAGGGAGGTGGCCAGTTCACCGACGATGATGGTCAGCTTGCGCACAGTAGTCCCCAGTTCTTTGGCTGTCTCTGGAGCTCTTTTCAGGCACTGTCGGAACCAACAATTTCATCTGCGTTTGTCGCTTTGCGTTGAGTAGCAGCGTGAAACATGGGTGCTAAGCTACAACTCGTACATAGGATGCATCATACGAAAGACAGTCTGCACATATATTCGAACTCGAGTCACCGCGAGATCCGTGCTTCAAATTACGCATGGCCTTGAGTTCAAGGAGAAAACTTGGCACGCGGCATTCGAACAACGGATATTGCGGTGACTCGTTTTTCCAGGTTGTCGTTTGCATAGCCTACGAGCGATGTGATCCCTGCTTTAAGCAGGGGTCACACTGCATATACATCATACAAAAAATTGTCTACCAGATATCAGTCACCGCGATATCCGGGGTTCGTATGTCGCGTGCCAAGTTTCTTCTTGAACTGGTTGCCATGCGGTATTCGAAGCACGAATCTCGTGGTGATTTGCGCTTGAATCTTTTTGCAGACTGTCTTTTGGATGACGCATTCGTGGCGATAAGGTTGGGTATTGCCGCCTGGTGGAAGTTTTTCACAACCCAGAGTGAGCACACTTCACCTTCATCTGCTGGTGCAATCAAGTGCAATGCCAAGCTTCTATGCACTCTGAACATCAAAACCACCGCGTGGGTAGCACGTGCACTACCAATAAGGAGTATTCACTGGGCGCCATATTTGTGGGTGCTGTCTAGAGCGCATGCTCAGAACGAGCCCACATAATTGAGCTGCTAAGACCGGCAATCTTGAGGTTGCGGAATGCTCTTTACAAAAGAACTGTGGAAGCTCGCCACCAGCACGCGCTCAGCAGACGCGCACACTGCTATGGCCGCCATTGAATACCTCCTATAGTGAGGAAAACAAGCGCCCATAGCGAGCTTCTCACCGTGAGCAAGCAGTGCGACCCCGGCTTAACAGTGTATATATTTACAAACAACTCACTGTTTTTTTTATCATCAGGCCAGCAAATGTCTCATGAGGAATGCTTAATCAAGACGATGGTTTGCTGGCTGAGGTTTGCAAGCTCCAGGGTTGCTGTTTGTGCGCTGTTTTATGACATGTGATACAATGACGTTACAGGACGACACTGCGACGTCATAACACAACACACAGGAAACCAGTGTTGGCGGTAACGCGTTACAAGTAATGGCGTTCCCGGTAACGCCTTACTTTTTTTCGGTAACTTGTAAGTACTCGTTACATTTCGAAAACAGTATACGCACTTCTGTTACTTATTTTGAGCAACGGGTAACGTAGTTACGTTACTCATTACATAATCTTCCCCAACTTAATAAAAATTACACTTATATTCTTTTGCGTTTCTAGACGCCACGCAATGTCAATTTCTGAGTTTTTCTCTTTTTCTTTGATATCTTTTCTTGTAAGTGTTTAGGTGAAACCGTAAAAAAGGAAAGGCAATTAGGTTCAGTTTTTGCATGGGCACATTATTTCTTGAAATGTGGCGTTCATGCACACCTGTGACGTCTAAACAGTAAAACGTCTGATTTCAGAATTTAAATAAAAGTAACACAAAAGCAACCCGCGTTACCTTTTACTGGTAACAGTGACAGGAACGCGTTCCTTTTATTTTGAGGTAATGTAAATCGGTCAAGCGTTCCTTTTGTTTGCGATTAACGAGTAACGTACTTCGTTACTTTTTTAGATAACGCCTACAACACTGCAGGAAACACAACCGAAGACCCGCTGCGAAACCTCGCCATTAACAGCTTTCGCAATTAAAATTTGTTTGTTTGTTTATAAGCGCAGGTTTCAAATGCACTGAATCCTGCATATGACGTATCCAGATATTTTAATCAGACGCTTTACAAAGGGAACTATTATCCGAAAACGACGTCAAGTGTCATTTTCACATATCGTGATAAGTGCAAGCTGAGGGCGTAATGTACCCTTAAAACTGAATTAAAACAGTTTTGACGGTGCGGAAGATCTGGCCAACGTTGGCTGGAAGCGCGCACGTAGCCTGCAAGCACACTGCTGTGGCCAATATTCACCTTTCTTTAAAATAATGGTTTCAGAGGTTTTGCAATGCGAACAATTAAACAGTTCACCTTCCATGAATTCAAGCACAAGCTAAATTCCTGTGCCGGTGCCCGAGGTATGCACGCCTGTTCTTTGCGCAAACACCTCAAACGGACAATTTATGAAGAAAAGAAAAAGGTGGATTGATTTTGAAAGACAAAAGGACCAAACTTGAGTGATTGCATTTCCTCAATGTCGAGTGCCCGCTTACGAGACTGTGCAGACCGATGAGATTCTCGATCATGTCCCGGATGTCCTGGAAGGTGATCACTTGGCGGTTGAGTTTCTGGAGGCAGTCCTGCGCCGCCAGGACCACCTGCTCCTGGCAGAAGTGCGAGAGGGGGTCTCGAAAGAGGGACACCTTGCTCTCTCGCTTGATGAAGAACTCCAGCAGCACCGTGGTCACCTTCGGAATCTGCGTGGGAGAGAAAAGAACCGAGGGCCCGCACGCGTTGCTGCGGTGCGGCCTCCCTAATGTCGTCTCGCGAGTGCTCACCCTTGGAAAAAGCGTAGTGAGGACCTTGGCTGAAGACTTCTTTTTTTGTTCTATCGCTGAAACGATACGTATATTACTAGAAAGAAAACGTTCGTTTCGGCTGGGTAGGTGAATATGCCCGATTGATGATGGACTTCGAGTACTTACTATCAGGGGTCCCTGGAAAGGAACAAATGGCAGCCACTACTGAGTTCATGCAGAAAAACAACTAGAACCAATACAACGGTTTTACGGGTGCTTGACCCCGCCACACGGAAGCATTTAATGACACTGCCATCAAACGACATTCGGTGATTAGTGAAGCAGCTCGCGATCCTCACTACGAGCATCGCGTGTGCACCAGCCTGATTGGCACGTGACATAATGTCAATCGATGCAAATGACATTAAATTTTACTGTGTCAAACAGGCACGTGAAACGACTTCGAAACGAAAATGTTTAAAACATCGACGAATCGGGTAATGATCTCTTACCTATTGGCTTGCGCTGGTTCGCCAATCTTTTAAAGAAGTTACTTTTGAAGTCCTTTAACCAGCCCGTCTGACAGGCGTATTAAAAGCACTCCTTTTAAAATTGACAAATCAATGATTGATATTGACTGTGCGCATGCTGCCCATACCACCTAGGTTGATCGAAGCCCATGCGATGGAATTTCCAGGTCATCCCAGTGAAAATGAGCGCGAACAGAAATGAGACACGAGTGACGTTTCAGTGTTCGTCCATGGGCCTCATGTTAAATCTATGCGTTCGTGCATAATTCAAACACGAGTCACCGTGAGAACCGTGCTTCGAATGCATGCATGGCAATGAGTTCAAGGAGGAAAGTTGGCATCCGGCATTCGAACCCCGGATATTGTTGCGGTATCTCGTGTTTTCAAACTATCTCTTGTATTATGTATGAGCAGTGGGATCTCGGCTTTAGGGTTCAGGATCGTCTGCAGATCGCAGTCACTGAGTTGATGCCATTGTTCGGTGATGACGTTCGAGAGGACGGAGGTTTGGGCCAGTTGGTTAGTTGTTCATGCTTGGGTGAAATAGTGCACGAGATTTACGCACAGAAGACAGGCACACAAAAAACACACACACAAAATAAAACAGTGCAATGTACGTGTGTTTCTTGTGTGCCTGTCTTCTGTGTGTAAATCTTGTGCGCTGTTTCACCCAATGATGACGTTCCACGCAAGTAAAGGAGGCTGTTCCTATGCTTTGAATATCTTACGTGGTGTGGGTGCTGCTTGGCGTGCGCTGGTTCGCCGATTCTTTTAAAACAAAAATATATTTCTTGATGGTCTTTCAAGCGCCATTGAAACAGGTGTAGAAGTTTGATTGCGAATTGCAGAGGGGGAGTTTTTCTAGGGCAATACTCTGACAGTGAAAGTCCCCAAAATATCGTCTAACGCGTGACAGGCGACTGCGATTAAGGATGCATGTCACTCTTGTTCGTGGTGGTTATTTATAGAATGTTCATTCTTGACGAACTAACGCAGGCAGTTCAGACTATAGCGAAATGTCGTCGGATGAAAATATTGTGTTGATGTAGACAAGGCAAGTGCAGCATCATGATACTTTTACTTCCGTGAAAGAAAAAACAACATAAATGTGTAATACCGAAAATCAAAACGTCAGGAGCTGTAGGCTCAAAGGGAACCACAAGGAGTGTGGAATGAGTAAGAACGTATTCTGTGTTCTTGTTTTGTTGTGAGCGTACTCTGACTGGCGATAAAGTCATAAACAAGGACGCGCGTCATCTATAGCGGAGGTTAAAATGTTGCCATTGTGATTGAATCGGCAATCAGGACTTGAGGCATTGCACCGACAAACACGCAGATTCTGTTAAAAAAAGGTTGAGGTCGACTTACCGGGTGATATGTCCGCCATGTTCGATAAATTATCTAAAAATAATAAGAATAAATACTAATGCCGAATTTAGGTTACTTTAAGAAAATAAGGAAAGAGATAGTGAAAGAACGCCCTTCTTCGTCAATTGATTCCGTTCTAATGAGCGCTGGTCTCGCGAATGGTCCTCGCGCTTTGCACCTCTTCTCGTTTTCTTTCAGTACGGTTCCGCTCCTAGTCAAACGTTAGAGAAGTGAAACGATATTTCAAACTATGGAGTCGGTGTGTTGAATATAGAGAGTCTATTCCTTTTGATTTAAAGGAGTCTGTCAGCGACGCCACGGCACAGATTTGCAATAATGATGCCAATCCCCTAGGACTACGTTCTGTGGCAGTTAAAAAAAACAAAAAAACAGTGCGATTTCACAGCTTTGAATGGGGCTTAAGTGGGGGGGGGGGGGGGGATCTGTGGCCGAGTGGGCTAGCGTAGAGCCACTCTATATGGCAGCGTAGCTGCCAGAGTAGCGACACGACGCAAAATTATCTAGATACACGACGTCAGAAGCGCCTATAGTGATCTCCATTTTGGGCCTGGGAGGTTTCTATGGTAACCGTACCGCTAGCGACGCCGGGCGGCAACCTTTATCTAGTTGATATCTCCATTCGTTAATTGAAAAGCGGAAAAAAACCTAAAGGACGCTTTGCATGGCGGTACAGCACGGGCCTCTGGAGGAGCGGTGCCTGTTTCTTCTGTGAAATGAGACGATTTTCAGAGTGGCTCTAGGCTAGCGCACACCAGCTCGAAGCACGTGGAGCGAAAGCTCGCGCTGCAGAACCCGGGGATCTTGGGATCCTGGGGGCTATGTTGCACGTTTTGGACTCCCAGGAGACGAAGGAGAAGGAAGTGACGTCAACGATACAGCAAACGCAGGTTGGATGTTGACAGAAGAAAACAAAATCAACATCCAATCTGCATTTGCTGCGTTGTTGACGTCACTTCCTTTGCCCTAGTCTCCTGGGAGTCCAAAAAGCGCAACATAGCACCCCAGGGCTCAATCCCCACCCCTGCTTGTTTCGGTCTGGATGAGCATCGTACGGCGTGCGGTCGTGTATCACTACTGCGTGGTACACGTTAAAAAAACGATAAACCGAAATTCGAATTAAAAAAAAAAAAAAGAAAAACGATGCCGGAGATGTAGGCGGGACGCTATAGTCTCTACAACACTACTCGTAAGCCGATACCTCGAATAGACCCTTTCCGAAATTCAGTCTGGCCACTTTGATCACTATCATCATCTGTGGAACGGCATCTGTGCCATACCAATGGCGGCCTTCTAGTGTCTGATAAAGGAAGACGTTGAAGATGCTCCTAAGCGGATCTTGCGAGGCCTGTACATTCGGGGGTCAGTACGACGTGACGTAGGAATGGAACACAAGAGCTACGTAAGCGTTTATTTCTAATAACTCAGATTCAGTCAATCTGTGGGCGGCACACAATCGGCTTTAAAGCACTTTGGTGTATAGAAATTTCTTGAGGCATCTCAGTGAGTTGGAGCTTTGTTTTGAATGCAGGTTCTTGGTAACCATCGAACTGAAAGTGATCGTGAAAGAACTCAAACTGAACAATTCCTCGCGTGCCGTTGACTTGCGAAAGTGACGGTGCCAATACAAGTTCATTTCCGCCATTGATATGGCAAAACCTAAACTGCTTTACAAACCACCAGATGGCACTGAATTTCGGAAAGGGTCTATTGGCGGCCGTATTCGCAACTTTCACGACCTATAGGGGACGCACTGGTGCCCACCAAAATGACTGTTATCTGGATGATCGTCGTAGAACAGCGGTACGAGGCTGGTTCTGCGACGCGTAAGTAATTCTAGCTTTGCTATATACGAGATGTATTCGAGCCTTACGTTATTGTTTCACCCCAGGAAGGTGTAGGCAAGCCCATTTATTATGAGGCCACTCATCCAGGAGCCAGGGAACGCGAATCTCACACCTCGGTACCACCATCGCTGGAAGTTGCGAATTTTTTGGAAAAAGAAGTCGAGATTGAACCAGGCCGACGAGGCGCGTGACGTAGAGATATCTCGTTTCCTCCTCTCTTCGCTTCGCTCCCTCAAGACGGCTAGGAGGAGAAGACGCGAGGCCGTTCCCTCTCCTTCTCGGAAAAAACATGACGTAAGCACTTCTGTCAAATGTGCCTTCTTAAAAAAAAATGCAGTTATTTGTTTGAGATGTTGCTGTATGAGTGATGTTTTGGTGTTTGTAGCATCCCGTTGCACGCTTTTGCCGCGTGCTTTGTGAAATCCAGATTTCGGTTCAGCATCCCTTTAAAGACCCCAGGCTAGCGGTTGTACTGGACTGGCTAAATTGCTCATCAACAGCGAGTGACTGTCGCAACTTTGAAATGGCTGACCAACTACACTCTGTCTAAATATCCACACAACCAGTCAAACGGTAGAGATGTCTTGTCTTGTCCGTTGTTTTTTGTTTATGCTTTCTGATATATTAATAATCACCAACGCGCTCACCGTACCTTTAACCCAAATTATTGGCGGTTAAGGCGCGCAAGAGCACGAAAATTATCCCCCCTCCCCTTCCACTCTCTCTCAAAAAAAAAAAAAAAGAAGAAAAATAAAAATAAAAGAAAAGATAGGGAAAATTGTTTATAGTTGTTTATACTCTATTCATGCTCTATTTCACCGTATGATGTACCGCAGGAAAGCCTACAAGCGCGAGCTCCTTGCTCTGGGGTCGATCATCGCGGCACCAGCACTCGTGCATCAAGGGCAGCTGCCAATGCTATGAGCTCGCGCTTCTAGCCTTCGCTGCGGTAAAACAGAAGGTGAAACGGAGTATAGACAGCGGCAGTTTAGTCTGCCAGAACATGACGACATTTATTATTATTCAGCGTATTTGACAAATTTAGCGAGTTCAGTACGACTGCTAGCCTCGGTTTTTTAACGTGCCTCGCGCAGTAGTGATACACGACCGCACGCGGGTACCATGATGATCCAGACGGAACCGGGTCATTGTGGGGATTGAAGCCATGGAAGCAGGATTAAAGTCCCCTGTGAAAATTCACGCCTACAAAGTAGGGTGTACTAGGATGCGGAGGTGTGCCGTCCGACGGACGTGAGTGTGTCGCGATGTGCAAGCATGCCAGTGAGTGCTCTGTGGGGCACAACGCGGCAACCCGACAGCTGACAGAATCCTGGCTTAGCAGTCGCAACAGAGAGGCTTTAAGGTCCGTTCACACTCTTGCAACCGAGCACGACCGAGAGAGACCAGACCGGTTTTTAAGCCTTTTGCGACTTCTCAGGACCGGATGCGATGCAGCGGAGCTCGTCCTAAGAGGTCGCAAGAGGCTTAAAAACCGGTCTGGTCTCTCTCGGTCTTACTCGGTCGCAAGAGTGTGAACGGGCCTTTACTCAGTTAGTTCTTGTCTTCTCGGTTGTGAGAAAGAATAAGTTACATCCTTTTTCAGACCCCTATGAAAAAAAGTGACTTGAGCGAGTGGCAGATGCCGTTTGGGAGCGATCAGTTACTTATACGAGTGAATGGTCCTGGGAAAATGCCAACACACTTATCTTTCGAATTTCGGTCAGGACAACAGGTCATTGTACTTTCGGGTCACGACAAAGGTCACTGTTTACGTTTCCAGTTTGGGTCATACTATTTGTGCTTTAGAGGAAGGAGAGGTTGTGTTTTTGTAACAGCGAAAGCTATGGACCATAGAGATTGCATAAAGTGGGGAAGAGGGACAGTTGAAACTTCTTTATTTTATCCTTTACCACTCTATCTTGCGCCGCCGAGCGGTAGGTTGATGGAATAGTATGGAATGAATACAAGCTTCCCAGCGACTACCTCCAGGAGTTTATTGATGCTAAGGTATTGACATTTGTCGAAGCAACACTTGTTTGCAACGTTTGTCGTAGGAAAAATTAGTATTGTTAGTAGTAATGACACTAATGCCAAATCCAGATGAAGAAAATGTTATTTGATAGCGTTTTTTTTTGTCCAGCATACGTTTACACCCGGATATTAACTATTTATTTTTAATAAGAAACACTGCGAAGTCAAACTTCGAATTTCGAAAAATTGGGGATGAAACAAAAATAAAATCCGGTAAACTCCCAATATTTGGTAAAAAATAAACTCCGAAAAACACCCTCCGAACTTAACGAAAAATAGACTCCGAAAGCACGGAAACCGACTTATACAGTCTCGGCTTTAAATATTTTTTGTTTCGTTTAGTTGTTATAGAAAGATAATAGTCTATCTCACCTTACATACCAGCAGTAAGAAAGCGAGGTTAGAGCATAATATAATATGCGATGCTTTCCTTTTCACTCCAGCTTTAAAGCTTTTTTAATTACTTTTTCGGCGGTTGTACATTTTGCGAACCTTTAAATACTTAATTTTAGTTCTGGTGTCAATACAGATTTTCTTATTTTTTTTTTTTGTATTGCAAGGATTAATGAAGCCCGCTTTTCTTGACTTCTACATTTTCAGCCGAACCCTATAGACATGGAAACGTCCTAATTGGATTTATCTAGTGAGCATGCATTAAACTAAATTAACACCATCAAAATAAATGGAGCACTTTAACTGCTGTCCCCCTCCCCTTCCCCTTCCCGTCGTCAGCTCCAGAAATGTGGTCATTCCACAGCAGTTTGAGCTCTTCACTTCGCCCAAAGACTAGTCACTCTCCCTTTAGGGTAGTCAAAGCCCTTACGCTATGTTGACTACCAGGATAGTCATTTTTTTTCTTAGAGTGTACTGCGCAATGGCGCCACCTCCCCTTGCGCGACTCGATTTGGATCAATACGTGCAACCGTGCAGTGCCCGGAGTGACCGCTGCGGGAGAAATGATGGCTTTGCGATCGCCTTTAGTTCGGTTCTTGAGTACAGGTAAGAGACGCTTTTTCAAAGCAGGGTCTATGGCATTTTCCCAACTGAGTTGTTCTAGTAACGTTGGTTGAAGTGCACTAAATTAGCCCGTCTGACTGGGGAACTGAGTTCATGACGTCAGTCT